TTTCGTTGCCTTTTATGGCTGAGTAATATTCCATTGTATATATGTGCCACATCTTCTTTATCCAATCATCTGTTGATGGATATTTAGATTGCTTCCATGTCCTGGCTATTGTAAATAGTGCTGCAGTGAACATTGTGGTACATGTCTCTTTTTGAATTATGGTTTTCTCAGGGTATATGCCCAGTAGTGGGATTGCTGGGTCATATGGTGGTTCTATTTTTAGTTTTTTAAGGAACCTTCAAACTGTTCTCCATAGTGGCTGTATCAATTTACATTCCCACCAACAGTGAAGGAGGGTTCCCTTTTCTCCACACCCTCTCCAGCATTTATTGTTTGTAGATTTTTTTGATGATGGCCATTCTGACTGGTGTGAGGTGATACCTCAAAATGGATGAAAGACCTAAATGTAAGGCCAGACACTATAAAACTCTTAGAGGAAAACATAGCCAGAACACTCTATGACATAAATCACAGCAAGATCCTTTTTGACCACCTCCTAGAGTAAGGGAAATAAAAACAAAAATAAAAAATGGGACCTAATGAAACTTAAAAGCTTTTGCATAGCAAAGGAAACAAGATGAAAAGACAGCCCTCAGAATGGGACAAAATATTTGCAAATGAAGCAACTGACAAAGGATTAATCTCCAAAATATACAAGCAGCTCATGCAGCTCAATATCACAAAAACAAACAACCCAGTCCAAAAATGGGCAGAAAATCTAAATAGACATTTCTCCAAAGACATACAGATGGCCAACAAATGCATGAAAAGATGCTCAACATCACTAATCATTAGAGAAATGCAAATCAAAACAACAGTGAGTTATCACCTCACACAGGTCAGAAGTTATATCTCTTAACTCATTATACAATCTGGCCTTTCAATTAGAATGTAACCACAAGTTATCAATCTTCAGAAAATTAATGTCTAACTTTCTACCCAGATGTGCTTGCTCCTAGAAAGCGAGGACTATTCTGACAAAAACCTTACCTTCAGAGGGTAGCCCTTGGACAACAGGTAGGTGAATAGGCTCTGTCTGAAGAATCTTGCTTCAGGGATTTACTGGTATCATTCATTCCCAAAAGAGTTCCCAAGAAGTCATCTTCTGAGGGTGGGGGGAAAAAAAGAAAAGAAACACCACTTCCAGTGAAAAAGGCAATTCAGCTGGAAGCTGGGAAGTCACCGTTCGGTACTCTCCCAGATTGATTTAATTTGGAAGCTGCTTTCTACTCCATTACGCAGCTCTGAAATTATATGTAGCTAGCTGCTCATAATTCTATACATTTCAATATCAGCACCTTGTATCAGAGCCTTTCTCTCTTGTACATTTCCAAAGCTGACTGGATTGCCTGGATCCTGCTGAAAATTGTTTCTTTTTTATCATTTATTTTTTTTCTGCTTAGTTGGCCAGGTTATTTATAAAATCACTCTATATCATCTATTCATATATCTATTCTCAATAAAATTTTATTGAAATCCTACTTTATGTCTGACAGCCCATTAGGCGCTTGTGTCACAAAAATGAATCTAAAAACATTAGGCCATAAGAAATTAAAACCCCATTTGATGAATCAGTCATACAAATAAAGAGCTGAGAAGTAACTTAGTAAATGGTCTTATAGAGGTAAATTTAGTTTTAGGATAGAATAGTTGAGGAAAGACCCCCATTTAGGAAGACCTGTTATGACCCAAAGCTGTAACTTCCGATTACTATTCTCACTGTCATCTGGATCTTGGATTGGTTTTTAATGCTATTTAGCTACAACCAAATGTCATCAAACTTAAGAAGAGCAAGATCTATCAATGCCTATCCACCTGAGGCCTTTTTCTAATAAACATGCAGCTCCCTGCCTGTATAGTCATACCTGCGAGGGTGTCCAAAGGACCACAGGTAGGAAGGGAGAGCACTGGCTGAGAAGTAAGTTGTCACCTCCTTCTCTAGAACTGACATTCAAAAGTTAAGGCAAAAGCATAGACAGTTTCCCTTTCCTTCTAGGCTCTATCACCTGACAGGAAAAAAAAAAGAGGAAAAATAACAGTTTAAGAAAGAGTATATGCAGATATAAATGCACCTATGTGTACATATAAACTGTACAAAAACACACATGCATGTAATCTAATTTAACAATAAAACATTCATAAAATGTGGGTATCCTGTGCTACACACAGACTGGGCAGGGTGGATGTCGCTAAGTCCTTTGTGTGTTATGTGCACAACCTTCAGACATGCACTGCTCTCTTTTCCCCCTGAGGTCCAATAGACACAGAGAGTATCTTACCAATAATTATGTGAGCAAGGGAAAATATTCCCATTCCATTAAGACTAAATGTTAGAAAACAATTTTTTTTACTATTATGTACAGATCAATGAAAACATGGTTTCTCTATTACAACCTGGTGAAGTCCAACAGACGCTCCCAACAATTCCAATGGCAAAAGAAAATTGTTTCTAGTTTATCAATTATCATAAGACCATCTTTAGAAAAAATATGCCTGTCAATAATATCCAAATACCTAGAAACGTTGGATTAAACTAAATTACTCTTTTTATTTTATTTTATTTTATTTTATTTTTGCGGTACGCAGGCCTCTCACTGTTGTGGCTCCAGACGCACAGGCTCAGCGGCCATGGCTCACATGCCCAGCCGCTCCGCGGCATGTGGGATCCTCCCGGACCGGAGCACAAACCCGTGTCTCCTGCATTGGCAGGCGGACTCTCAACCACTGCGCCACCAGGGAAGCCCTGTTTAATTTTTTAAATTAAATCTCCCAGTTTCTGTCTTTTAAATTTAATATAATGGTCATGTGGTTGGATTTATGCCTGCCATTTTCCTATCTGTTTTCTAGATGTCATATCATTTTGGTTTCTCTGTTCATTCTTAGCTGCCTTGTTTGTATTAAATAGATACTTCTTATTGTACTATTTTAATTCTTTGGTAGTTCTTTTAATGTTTTTGAGTTATTTGCTTAGTACTGACCCTAGGGTTTACAAATGCACCTTAAATTATCACAATCTACTTCAGAGTAACACTAATTTTGTTATATGTCCTTTTATATATCTTGAACTCAGTTTCAGAGAAGTGATTCTGGCACTCATTTTGTCCAGATTTTCCAACAGATCAATTATTGAAGCCATCATTGGCCCCAGCATGTTTATAAAGCAACTGTGAGCCTGAGATAGGTGACAGACACTGAACAATAAGGATCCCATCACCACTGGATACACAGTCCATGCTGCTAAGTCATGGAGACCAGCAAACAGTGAGTGATCCAGTTCCATGTCTGACTAATGCAGATAGACTCTCAGTGTCATTGGAACATTTCAAGTCCCTAAAAGAACATCAGTATCCTCAGGACAAAATGCTTACCTTTGTGAGAATCCACACAGGCCTTTGATGATGGGAAGCAGAATTATTCCCAACACTTTCCTTCATGTCTCATCTCACGGGGAAGGGATAAACTCATCCTTATGAAACCCAGTTTTTGGAACACGTCAACCTGTGGGAAAGAATAAATGTGCATCTAGATGAGAAGTAGGATGAGTCCATTTGTCAACTATATACAAGACAGGAGCGTTCACTATGTATATGCATAGTGTAATACATATTATCATTCTACTGAGATGTTTCTGAAATTATTCAAAAGACAGATAGTGCAAAAATTGGGGGTGGAAAAGTGCCTCATATGACTCACCAGATTATTAATGCCTCACACTCTTTGGATTAACAGACACCTCACAAAAGCAATAAAATTCTAAATTGCTTAGTAAAATATTCTAGGAACATACATTTATTAAAATTGGATATTACATATGGAAGGCATTGTTTTGATTTTTCCCAGAGAATGGAGCTAGTGCAAGTGACAAAAACAGCACTTCTTTGGTGTGGCAGTGAGAATTACAAGCAGCAAAATATCCCTTCTTTCTAACATCACTTCCAATCTGCAAAGCACAAGGAAAATTAGGGAGCTGAGAAACAAAACTTTCCTAATGTAATATTTAGTAACAAGTTGTTATAAGGAATACATCAAAGATATTCAGGGCAATCAATATGACAAGAACTATAAATGCTCACTCCTTGGAACATATTAATTTAGAAATATTTGTTCTAAGACATTTGTCTCAAAGTTTCCTCAGTGTGCCCACCATAACTTCATTCATTATAACTAGGATCTTTCTTTAAACACATTAGAAATCCATTGGGGGTATATAAAAGTGTATAAGGAAATCCATGTAAAACAAACAAACACAAGAATTGGAAATTTAATCATTTAACATCTGAAAATGTTTAATGCAGTATATAGTTGAAGTCAGTACTCGTGTGTTGCTCTTTTGGTTGATGAGAAAAACAAAAAACAAAGAAACAATAATTCAATCCTAGTGACTGGTTGGCAAGCAAATTAAAATATATTGTGAAGGTCTCACATATAGTACCTACTTTTTAATTATCATATATTTGTTTCAATTACTAGGGAAAAGTAAAAATCCATAATCTGTATTTTGACCACCTATAAATAGCACTCAAGAGAGGACTCCAGCAGCTCAGACAACTGTGTGAATGGCTCAAGTGTAGGTACAACCATTTCTAGAATCTTCAGTGCTCATGTGCTAGTTCCCCAGGGTCTGTTTACTACAAGTGTATTTATGCTGCCAGCTAAAGACTCAAAGGGTTGCAATTTCACCTGACAATTAGATATGAATAGACACTGTACAGTTCAGTTCCTCTAATGCATGCAAGCAGCTTAGCTTTCTAATACCACAGTTCTTCCTGATACCACATGAATGAAATCACTGATCTCCGCCCTGCAAATATTTTGCTTAGGGTGGGTATCTATGCTAGACCTCAGTTTCACAGAAGTGATTGTGTAACTCATTTTGTTCAGATTTTTAAATGAGATCAATTATTATAGCAATCATTGATACACATGAGTTTCTAAAATAGGGCACTGCTCACCTCAGAAAGTGAAAGAGACTCTGAAGTTCATCACTTATCTACTCTACTCAGTTATGGAGACCAGACCCCACATCAGTGATCCAGGTTTCACAGCTGACTATCATAGACAGTGCCTATGGTAATTGGAATATTATATAATCCTTAGAAGGAAGGTCAATATTTTAGGGACAAATGCTTACTGACTTGAGAATTCCCACTGGCCTCTTAGGATGGGCCTTTCCTTCATGTTGCATCTGAAGGGGAAGGAATAAACATTTTCATAGGAAACCTGAGCTCTATCCTTGTTACCCTGTGGGAGTAGAATAAAAATGTGGAAAGATTAGAAGTAAACCTGTCCATTGGCCGGTCAGGCATAAGACAGTAGGGTTCAATAATGTACCCTCCTATTAAATAAGCTAATGCATTGCTCTGCTAGGGTGCTTCCAGTGTTATTCCAACAACATTAATTGTGTTAGGCTCTCTGGCCTCCATAAGAGCAAATATTGTCCAACATTTTCTGCCAGACAAATTAAATGTGAAATCAGACTGTCGGAATATGCTTAAAGTTCCAGGAAAATGTTGGCCTGGTGAACAATTCAACCACAACAATGCATATAATGCATATATATTCTGTAAATTAAACCTCAGAATTATTTTATCCTCAAAGATGACCCAATGGATTGGGGAGGAGAAAACTGCCATGATAGGGAAATAAAGAACAGTTGTCTAAAAATCACTTATAGCACTAAACTTGCTTGAGCTCAGGAACCTGGCAATTTGCAGAGGATGCACAGTTACTCTACGCCTGATTCTACATGGTGTGGTCACAGCAATGCAGGCAGGACTCACACAGGCACAATAAATACTGACATGTGACTAGAGAGGTTGGGAGGGTGCAGAGAGGAAAAGTCAGACACTGAGCCCTCTCACCATGAAATATTTCCCATCCTATTGTCAGGGTGGTGCTCATCAGGCCACACTGCTGAGGATTCAGTGACATTTGGCCAAGCACACCCCTCAGTAGAAACAGTTTTTCTCTGCCACACTGGTAAGGAATGGCTTTACTTTCGTCTCCATGCTTAATTCCTGTATGAGGCATTAGTAGGAAGACTGAGAAAATGCAAAAATTCTGGAAAAGAACAGAAAGAAGCCTCAAAGAATCACCAGATTATTAAGTCCTCACACTGTTTGAACTGACAGACTCTACAAAACACCAATTAAATTCTTAATTACTTAAAAAATAATAACTCAGGAAAAATTTATAAAAGATTAGATGTTACCTTGAGAGTGCATCATTGGATTTCTTCTTAGATAAGGAGCTGGCAGAAGTGACAAAACCAGCTCTTCTTTGGTGGGGTGGTAAGAATTCCATGCAATTCCAATATTACTTCCAACCTACAAACCACAGAGGAAATTAGAGGAGTTGAGAAAGAAAATCTTCCAAGTTGAATATTAATTGATGAGGTTATAAGGAATTAATTACATATATTTGCTGACCACCTGTATGATAAGAATAAAAATAGCATTGTTCCATGGAACAGGAACGTATAGAAAGTCATTTGTTCTAAGACCTGGTCAAAATTTCTCCAAAGGACCCTTAGAATCACTCATTAAAACTGGGATCTCCCTTAAAACACATGTGAAACAGACTGAAGGAATATGAATATTAACCAATAAAATGCCAAGACCTGGAAACGCAATAATTTTACAATTAAAAATATTTAGTGCAGCATATACTTGACTCCATCACTCAAACGTCTAGAAAAGTTCTCTTTGGGTGAGAAGAAAAATAACTGTATGAATTTTTGTGACTGAGTTAACAATCAAATCAAAACATGCCCTAAGATATTCCTGTAAATACAAACTACTTTTAAATTTCCATATATTTGCTTTACCTAAAAAAATTGACAAGTAAAGACATAATATCTTTTGAACTGACTATGTAATTGACCTCAATAGACTACTGCTCACTCACAAGATTGTAGCATCTAAGGAAATGTTGTGAATGGCTCAAGGGTAGACAAAAACATATATCCTTGGTCTCACTACTAATGTGCTGATTCTCCAGAGTCTGATTACTATTAGTGAATGGATGTTGTCAGCCAAGCACTCTAAGAGTTTCCACGTCGTCCCTAAACCAGACATTTACAGATCTCTGTACAGCTCATTTCCCTTAATGTATGCAATCAGGTGAGCTTTCAAACACTTCAGTCCGGGCTGGTACCTCTACTAGACCAATTGAGCTCCCTCCACATTTTTTGCCTAGCATGGTCCCTGGGAGGGACCTCAGCTGACAAATGATTTTGTCACTCAGTTTGTTCATATTCCAATGAGAAACATATGTGAAGTTATCATTAATTCAGGCACATTAGTAAAAGGGACTTTGATCCTGAGATATGTGGCAGTCACTGAGCACTCAGGGATCTGACACCCTCAGACACATTGACCCACAGTATTCAATAATGCAGACCAGCCATCACAGTCGATAACAGTCCCATGACTGACTAGCACAGCCAGAGTCTCATTGTCATATGAGTGTTACAATGTCCTAAGAGGAATGTCAGTGTTTTCAGGATGAAATGCTTACTGATGTTACAATTCCCACTGGCTCTCGAGGATGAGATGGTAAAACTATTTTCAATACTTTCCTTCATGTCACCTCTCAAGAAGAGGGATAAACTCTTTCATATTAAACTCAACCAGTGGTCCATATCTGTGGAACTAGAGTAAAAATATGGAAAAATGAGATGTATATATGTCTATTTGTCAAACATGCAAAAGACAAGCAGATTTATTATGTACCTTCATATTAAATATACACATATTACTTTACTAGAATGTTTCTGATGTTATTCAAAGGGAGAAAGCACAAAAACCTTGGAAATAAAGGAGACAAAATATTGGACCTCACCAGATAATTAATAACACATTATTTGGATTAACAGATACTTCACAAAACCAATTATCTACCTGATTACAAAAAATATAATGAGAATAAGCCATAAAAAGAAAATTTGTTTAAAATTTGTTATTACCTTTGGAGTTCATTATTTTGTTCCATCCCAGGAGAGGGAACAGGTGAAAGCAACAAAATCAGCACTTTTTTATGGTGGTGAGTATTCTATGCAATTCCAAAGTCACTTCCATCTTTCAAAGCACAGAGGAAATAAAGGAAGTTGTGAAATAAAACCTTCCCAATTGAATGTCAATTGATAAAAAGTAATAAGGAATTAACCACAGATATTCACTTGACCATCTATATAATGAGAAAAAATTATGTTTGTTCCTTGGAAAAGGGTAGAATAGAAAATCAATTTTTCTAAGACATTCATCTCAAAGTTGACCCAAAATTCCCCCTATTACTTACTAAAATTACAACATCTCTTTAAACATATAAACCCATTGAAGGAATATGAATATTCGCTGATGATATCCACATAAAATTCCAAGAATTAGAAATTTAATCATTTCATGTTAAAAATGTTTAATGAAATATCTAAATTTAATCCATCACCAAATATCTAGGAAATTTCTCCCTGAGTGACAAGAAAAAAACATATTCTACTCTTTGAATTGATAGGTTAGCAAGCAAATTAAAACATGATATAAGATAATCTCACTAATGCAATCAACTTCTATTTTCCCATATTTCTTTCACTTAAGAGATAAATGACAAGCAAAAACTAATAATTTCTTTCTAATTGGCTATCTAATAGACCTAAACACGCTGATCTTCACAAAAGACTGGAACATCTAAGGAAACTGTGAGAATGTCCTAGTGTAAGCACAACCATTTCATGTGCTGATTCTCCACTGTTTGTTTACTATGGGTGTAAAGATACTGCCTGTCAAGCACTCAGAGTTGTCATTCCACAATGGTTATTTATAATTTCTGTACAATTCATTTCCTGTAGCATACACCAGCATCTTAGTTTTCTAATATCATAGTCCTTTTATGGGGGATACTACTAGCTGACCAAACTGAATCCTCTACATTTTTGCCTAAAGTGGTCTCTTATGCTGGATCTCAGTTCACATAAGTGATTTTGTCACTCATTTTGTTCAGATTCCAACGAGATCCATTTTTGAAGTCATCATCAATCCAGGCCCATTTGTGAAAGAGACCTTGATCCTGAGATACGTGGCAGACACTGAGCTCTCAGGACTCCATCTCCCTGTGACAGTGGTCCACACTTTTATACAAAACTGAGTTCTTGGTCCATGTCGATATGCTGGCATAGAGTAAAATTATGGAAAGATGAGAAGTATATGTGTCCACCTGTTAACCACGCAGAACACAAGATGTTTACTATGCACAAGTATACAAAAATACTATTTCTCTAGTAGGATCTTCTGATGTTATTCAAAATGGAGGAAGCATTAAAATCCTGGGAAAAAAGTACACAGAAACCTCAGATGACCCAGACTACTAAAAGCCTCACATGTTCAGATTAACAGACTCCAAAAGACCATCTGTAATCTTGCTCGCTAAAAACACATACTAACCCAGGAAAATACATTTATTAAAAGTTGCAATGTTACCTCTGGAGTGCATTGTTGTGATTATTTATGCAGAAGGGAGCTGGTATGAATGACAAAATCAGCAGTTCCTTGAAGAAGTGGGAGGAATTCCATCCAACTTCAATATCACCTCTAATCTACTGAATATATTGGGAAATTAGGGAATTTGACAAACCAAACCATCATAATTGAAAGTTTACTAACTAATAACAGATTATAAGGAATAAACCATAGATATTCCCTTGACTATCTGTATAAGAAGAAAAATAATGCTCACTACTTGGATCAGGGTAACACTGAAAGTTGTAAGGTCTTGGTCTCAAAGTTTCCCCAAAGCCTTCCCTCAGCAGCAGGCATTAATACTAGGATCTCCCCTTCAACACTATGAAACCCACTAACACAATATGAACACTGGGCAATGAAATCTACCTAAAATATAAATAATTGGAAATGTAATAATTTTTAATTAAATATGTTTAATACAGCATCTATTTGGATCCATAACATAAACGTCTAGAAAATTCCTCTTTGGGTGACAGGGAAAAAAACTCTTCTAATACTTGTGACTTGGTCAGCAAGGAAATTAAAATGTTCTGGAAGACATTTTGACAAATAGAAACTGCTCTTCAATTTCTATGTTTTTCTTTTACTTTAAGAGATAAATAAACACTCATATATTCTGCCTTGAATACCTAATTGACTTCACTCTGAAGACTTAGGCACCTAAGAAAAATGTGTGAATAGCTCATGGGTAGACATAACCATTTACCACCAGCCTCTCTACTCCTGTGCTGGTTCTCCAGGATCTGGTTACTATGAATGCATGGAAACTGCCAGCCAAGCATTCAGAGTTGCCATGTCATCCCTAGGTCAGATATTTATAGACCTCTGTGAAATTCAATTCCTTTAATGTATGCAATCAGGACAGCATTCAATTACTATGGACCCTATAGGTACCAGTAGCTGACCAAACTGAGCTCTACCCCAACATTTTTGCCTAGCATGGTCTCTTCTGCTGGACCTCAGTTCACATCAGTGATTTTGTCACTAATTTTGTTCAGATTCCAACAATATCCATTTTTGAAGTCATCATCGATCCAGGCACATTTGTGAAAGAGACCTTGATCCTTAGATATGTGGCAGACACTGAGCTCTCAGGACTCCGTCTCCCTGGGATGGAGTATTTTCAGGAAAAAGTACATTAGAATTCCCACTGGCCCTTGAGGATGGAAGGCAGAATTATTCCTAATATTTTCCTTCATGGCACATATCAAGGAGTAGGAAGAAACTCGTCCATATGAAACCTAGTTTTTGGTCCATATCTACTTGTGGGAAAGTATAAATGTGAAAAGGTGAAAGGTATACATGTCTATTTGTCAAAATTGCATAAGACAAGAAGATGTGCTATGTATCTTTATGTAAAATCTCCTAATTTATTACTCCTCTAGGATGTTTCTGGTTAAAGTAAAGCATAAAATCTTAAAAATAAAGGAGACTGAAGCCTCAGATGCCTCAACAGATTATTAAAGCTAGTAGAGTTGTTTGTATTAACTGATTATTCAACAACTCAATACAATTTTTGATTACTTAAAAAATAATAAAAATAATCCAGAAAAGTAAATTTACTAAAATTGGATGTTACCCTAGGAGTGCATTGTTTTGTTACTTCTCAGTTAAGAGAGCTGGCACAAGTGACAAAATCAGTACTTCAGTGGTGTGGTGATGACATTCATGGAATTCTAATGTCATGGTCAATATAAAAAGTACACAGGAAATTAGGGAAATTGCAAAACAAAGTTTTCCTAATGGAATATTCAGCTGTAAGAAGTTATAAGTATTCATAATAGATATTCCTTGAGATGACAAGAACAATTATGCTCACAAGTTTGATCACAGTAGAACAGATATAATTTTTTCTAAGATATTTGTCTCAAAGTTTCCCCAAAACAGTCACTGCAAAATCATTTACTGTAACTAGGATGTCTCTTTAAACACATTAGAAACCCATTGAGAATATATGAAAGGGGCCAATGATATCCATGTAAAAATCTAAGAATTTGAAGTATAATCATTTCACATCAAAAAACTATTAGTAATTGAAGCCAGCATTCAAAATATATGAAATTACTTGCTCAGTTTGTAAGAAAAATGAAAAACAAAGAAACAACTGTTCTACTTCTGGTGTCTGGGTTGGCAAGCAAATTAAAATATGTTGTGAAGATTCCACACATCTACTCTTCAATTTACATGTAATTGTTCCACTTAATAAAAAAGGAAAAGTAGAAGTTCATAATACAATATCTTTGAAGTTTGACAATCTAAGCACACTAAAGATATCAATAATCACTCAGAAGATTTTGGTAGCTCAGATAAATGTGTGAATGGTTCAAGTGTAGTTACAAAGATTTCTCATAGAACTCATTATTCAAGTGGTGATTACCCAGAGTTTATTTACTACAAGTTTGTACATGCTGGCAGCCAAGTACCCAAAGAGTTATTATATCATCCCCAAATTGGTTATTTAGCGACCTTTGTACAATTCAGTTCCTCTAGTGTATGCCAACATCTTAGTTTTTCAATACCATAGTCCTTTCTGGGGGACACCACCTGCTGAGCAAATTGAATATCCCTCCACACGTTTGCCTAGCATTGTCCGTGGACTGGACCTCAGCTCACATAAGCGATTTTGTCACTCATTTTGTTCAGATTCCACTGAGGTCCATTTTTGAAGTCACCATTTATCCAGGCACACTTATAAAAGGGAACTTTAGAATGAAACATGTGGCAGACACTGAGCTCTCAGGAATCCATCTCCCTGGGACACACTGGACCACACTATTCAACCGTGGAGGCCAGCATCACTGATGACCCCAGAGTCCCATTGTCACTGGAGGGTTACACTCCCTGAGAGCAATGTCAGTATCTTCAGGACAAAGTGCTTACCAGCATGAAAATTCTCACTGGCCCTTAAGGATGAGAGGCAAAATTGTTACTGAAATACTCCTTCATGTCAGATCTCAAGAAGAGGGAATAAACTCATTCATATGAAACCCAGCTCTTGGTCCATCTTGAATTGTAGTAATAGCATGTAAAGATGTAATATGTAAAGCTGAGAAGCGATAATGTACATTTATCAACCAAGCAAAAGATGGAATGGAAGGACGAGGGGAAGATGGTGGAAGAGTAAGTTGTGGAGATCACCTTCCTCCCAACAGATACACCAGAAATACATCTACACGTGGAACAACTCCTACAGAACACCTACTGAACGCTGGCAGAAGACCTCAGACCTCCCAAAAGGCAAGAAATTCCCCACGTACCTGGGTAGGGCAAAAGAAAAAAAAAACAGAGACAAAAGGATAGGGACAGGACCTGCACCACTGGGAGGGAGCTGTGAAGGAGAAAAGGTTTTCCACACACTAGGAGCCCCTTTGCGGGCGGAGACTGGGGGTGGCGGAGGGTGGAAGCTTCGGAGCCGCAGAGGAGAGCACAGCAACAGGGGTACGGAGGGCAAAGCGGAGAGAGTTCCGCACAGAGGATCGGTGCCAAAAGGCACTCACCAGCCCGAGAGGCTTGTGTGCTCACCCGCCAGGGTGGGCGGGGCTGGGAGCTGAGGTCGGAGCGCAGGGAGAGGACTGGGGTTAGCGGCGTGAACACAGCCTGCAGGGGGTTAGTGCACCACGGGTAGCCAGGAGGGAGTCCAGGGAAAAGGCTGCACCTGCCGAAGAGGCACGAGACTTTTTCTTCCCTCTTTGTTTCCTGGTGCGCGAGGAGAGGGGATTAAGAGCGCTGCTTAAAAGAGCTCCAGAGATGGGCGCGAGCCGCAGCTAAAAGCACAGACCGCAGAGACGGGCATGAGACGCTAAGGCTGCTGCTGCCGCCACCAAGAAGCCTGTGTGCAAGAACAGGTCACTATCCACACCCCATTTCGGGTAGTCTGTGCAGCCCATCACTACCAGGGTCCCGGGATACAGGGACAACTTCCCGAGGAGAACGCACGGTGCGCCTCAGGCTGGTGCAACGTCATGATGGCCTCTGCCACTGCAGGCTCGCCCCGCACTCTGTACCCCTCCCTCCCCCCAGCCTGAGTAAGCCAGAGTCCCCGAAGCAGCTGCTCCTTTAACCCCGTCCTATCTGAGAGAAGAACAGACGCCCTCCGGTGACCTACATGCAGCGGTAGGGCCAAATCCAAAACTGAGCCCTGGGAGCTGTGAGAAGAAAGAAGAGAAAGGGAAATCTCTCTCAGCAGCCTCAGAAGCAGCAGATTAAAGCTCCACAATCAACTTGATGTACCCTGCATCTGTGGAATACATGAATAGACAACGAATCATCCCAAATTGAGGAGGTGGACTTTGAGAGGAAGATTTATTATTTTTTCCCCTTTTCCTCTGTTCGTAAGTGTGTATGTGTATGCTTCTGTGTGAGATTTTGTCTGTATAGCTTTGATTCAACCATTTGTCCTAGGGTTCTATCCATCAGTTATTTTTTTCTTTAAAAATTTTTTTTCTTAATATTTATGTTTTATTTTAATAACTTTATTTTATTTTATGTTTATTTTATCTTCTTCCTTCCTTCTTTCTCTTTTTTCTTCCTTCCTTCCTTCCTTTCTCTCTCTCTCTCTCTCTCTCTCTTTCTTTCTTTCTATTTTTTCTCCATTTTATTCTGAGCCGTGTGGATGAAAGGCTCTTGGTGCTGCAGCCAGGAGTCAGTGCTGTGCCTCCAAGGTGGGAGAGCCAACTTCAGGAGACTGGTACACAAGAGACCTCCAAGCTCCACATAATATCAAATGGCGAAAATCTCTCAGATATCTCCATCTCAGCACCAGCACCCAGCTTCACTCAAGCTACAGTGCTGGACACCCTATGCCAAACAACTAGCAAGACAGGAACACAACTCCACCCATTAGCAGAGAGGCTGCCTAAAATCATAATAAGTCCACAGACACCCCAAAACACACCACCAGATGTGGACCTGCCCACCAGAAAGACAAGATCCAGCCTAATCCACAAGAACACAGGCACTAGTCCCCTCCACCAGGAAGCTTACACAACCCACTGAATGAACTTTAGCAACTGGGGACAGACACCAAAAACAACGGGAACTACGAAACTGCAGCCTGCAAAAAGGAGACCCCAAACACAGTAAGATAAGCAAAATGAGAAGACAGAAAAACACACAGCAGATGAAGGAGCAAGGTAAAAACCCACCAGACCTAACAAATGAAGAGGAAATAGGCAGTCTACCTGAAAAAGAATTCAGAATAATAATAGTAAAGATGATCCAAAATCTTGGAAATAGAATAGAAAAAATGCAAGAAACATTTAAGAAGGACCTAGAAGAACTAAAGATGAAACAAGGAACGATGAACAACACAATAAATGAAATGAAAAACACTCTAGATGGGATCAATACCAGAATAACTGAGGCAGAAGAACGGATAAGTGACCTGGAAGATAAAATAGTGGAAATAACTACTGCAGAGCAGAATAAAGAAAAAAGAATGAAAAGAACTGAGGAGAGTCTCAGAGACCTCTGAGACAACATTAAATGCACCAACATTTGAATTAGAGGGGTTCCAGAAGAAGAAGAGGCAAAGAAAGAGACTGAGAAAATATTTGAAGAGATTATAGTTGAAAACTTCCCTAATATGGGAAAGGAAATAGTTAATCAAGTCCAGGAAGCACAGAGAGTCCCATACAGGATAAATCCAAGGAGAAATATGCCAAGACACATATTAATCAAACTGTCAAAAATTAAATGCAAAGAAAACAAATTAAAAGCAGCAAGGGAAAAACAACAAATAACACAGAAATGAATCGCCATAAGGTTAACAGCTGATCTTTCAGCAGAAACTCTGCAAGCCAGAAGGGAGTGGCAGGACATATTTAAAGTGATGAAGAAGAAAAACCTGCAACCAAGATTACTCTACCCAGCCAGAATCTCATTCAGATTTGATGGAGAAATTAAAACCTTTACAGACAAGCAAAAGCTGAGAGAGTTCAGCACCACAAAACCAGCTTTACAACAAATGCTAAAGGAACTTCTCTAGGCAAGAAACACAAGAGAAGGAAAAGACCTATAATAACGAACCCAAAACAATTAAGAAAATGGGAATAGGAACATACATATCGATAATTACCTTAAATGTAAATGGGCTAAATACTCCCACCAAAAGACACAGATTGGCTGAATGGAAACAAAAACAAAACCCACATATATGCTGTCTACAAGAGACCCACTTCAGACCTAGAGACACATACAGACTGAAAGTAAGGGGATGGAAAAAGATATTCCATGCAAACGGAAGCCAAAAGAAAGCTGGAGTAGCAATTCTCATATCAGACAAAATAGACTTTAAAATAAAGACTATTAGAAGAGACAAAGAAGGACACTACATAATGATCAAGGGATCAATCAAAAAAGAAGATATAACAATTGTAAATATTTATGCACCCAACATAGGAGCACCTCAATACATAAGGCAAAAACTAACAGCCATAAAAGGGGAAATCGATAGTAACACATTCATAGTAGGGGACTTTAACACCCCACTTTCACCAATGGACAGATCATCCAAAATGAAAATAAATAGGGAAACACAAGCTTTAAATGATACATTAAACAAGATGGACTTAATTTATATTTATAGGACATTCCATCCAAGAACAACAAAATACACATTTTTCTGAAGTGCTCATGGAACATTCTCCAGGATAGATCATATCCTGGGTCACAAATCAAGCCTTGGTAAATTTAAGAAAATTGAAATTGTATCAAGTATCTTTTCCGACCACAACGCTATGAGACTAGATATCAATTACAGGAAAAGATATGTAAAAAATACAAACACATGGAGGCTAAATAACACACAACTTAATAATGAAGTAATCACTGAAGAAATCAAAGAGGAAATTTAAAAATACCTAGAAACAAATGACAATGGAGACACGATGACTCAAAACCTATGGGGTGCAGCAAAAGCACTTCTAAGAGAGAAGTTTATAGAAATTCAATCCTACCTTAAGAAACAGGAAACATCTCAATTAAACAACCTAACCTTGCACCTCAAGCAATTAGAGAAAGAAGAACAGAAAAACCCCAAAGTTAGCAGAAGGAAAGAAATCATAAAAATCAGATCAGAAATAAATTAAAAAGAAATGAAGGAAATGATAGCAAAGATCAATAGAACTAAAAGCTAGTTCTTTGAGAAGATAAAATTGATGAACCATTAAGGCAGACTCATGCAGAAAAAAAGGGAGAAGACTCAAATCAATAGAATTAGAAATGAAAAGGGAGAAGTAACAACTGACACTGCAGAAATACAAACAATCATGAGAGATTACTACAAGCAACTCTATGCCAATAAAATGGACAACCTGGAAGAAATGAACAAATTGTTAGAAATACACAACCTGCCAAGACTGAATCAGGAAGAAATAGAAAATATGAACAGACCAATCACAAGCACTGAAATTGAAACTGTGATTAAAAATCTTCCAACAAACAAAAGCCCAGGACCAGACGGCTTCACAGGCAAATTCTGTCAAACATTTAGAGAAGAGCTAACACCTATCCCTCTCAAACTCTTCCAAAATATAGCAGAGGGGGGAACACTCCCAAACTCATTCTACAAGGCTACCATCACCTTGATACCAACACCAGACAAGGATGTCACAAAGAAAGAAGACTACAGGCCAATATTACTGATGAACATAGATGCAAAAATCCTCAACAAAATACTAGCAAACAGAATCCACCAGCACATTAAAAGGATCATACACCATGATCAAGTGGGGTTCATTCCAGGAATGCAAGGATTCTTCAATATACGCAAATCCATCAATGTGATAAACCATATTAACAAATTGAAGGAGAAAAACCATATGACCATCTCAATAGAAGCAGAGAAAGCTTTTGACAAAATTCAACACCCATTTATGATAAAAACCCTGCAGAAAGTAGGAATAGAGGGAACTTTCCTCAACATAATAAAGGCCATATATGACAAGCCAACAGCCAACATCATCCTCAATGGTGAAAAGCTGAAAGCATTTCCACTAAGGCCAGGAACAAGACAAGGTTGCCCACTCTCACCACTCTTATTCAACATAGTTTTGGAAGTTTTAGCCACAGCAATCAGAGAAGAAAAGGAAATAAAAGGAATCCAAATCGGAAAAGAAGAAGTAAAGCTGTCACTGTTTGCAG